CAGTGAGTTTTAGTTTTAGGGTGTAGGGTTTAGGGTTTAGAGTTTAGGGACTCACACTCGGACAAAGCCTGGCAAGGTTTTAGGGTTTAGGGTTTTAAGGTTTTAGGGTTTCAGGGTTTAGGGTTTGGGAGTGGAAAGTGTAGGTTCGCTCCTTCTTCTTCATACGGCTGATGATATAAATCCTGCATTACCCATAATAAGAAATATATACAATAAATTCCATAGTTCAGGGTTTTTAAAGTAATCCAGGACTGGTATCATCAAAAGTAGTTTAGGGTTTGCAGGGTGTAGGCTCTTTCGGAGTAGAGCGTTCCAGAGTTGGGGATTTAGGGTTTCTTCTTGGCGTCAGAGCTTAGGTGGTAAAATGTTGTAATGTAGGGGCCTTAATAATTAGAATAGGGCTTCGGGCTTGTTTATAGCATGTTTATAATAAGGAACCCTAAGAATAATATGGGTAATTATTTAGGCTTCTATAGTAAGCATTCTTTTCAGTCGAGGGTTTAGGGTTTAGGGCTTAGGGTTTAGAGTACCAAGCCTTCAGCTGGACGGGTAGTCTTTTTTTCGCTGTCTGCACAACAGCCACTAGCACCACAACCCCAATCCTACATCAACTGTCTGAAACTGCAAAGAGTCATTTCATTAAGGAGTATCGTTCCTGCTCTAACAATAGAAATTCGCTGTTCAATGATTTTGGAGTCTCAGGGTCTTCAACCCTTACAGGAGCTTTATCAACAATTTGGAACCCGATCCCTACATCACCGTGCTGTTCTCAATTTTGGGGCTTCGAGGCTGGCCCTTTGATGCACCTCCGAGGCGTTCTCCAACGAGGCGTCATCGCGGAGTTCAGCGCAACCTACCAGAATTGTCCGGAGAGCCCCATACCCTGTAATTGCGGAATGTTTCTCAAATTGTCAAATTACAGAGAAAACTCTGCATATGATTGATGGGTGTTCAATGGTACTGACACTCAAAATCATTAATGGTATTGCCATTTTTGTTGCTCCTATGATTTATTGTTCGTTATTGTTTGTATTATCATTGATATTCTTCTTCTTAATCGCAATCAGCACTGTTATCTGGGTTCGCATGAAAGCACCCGAAAAAATCCTACTCCCTCTCAGGCTCTGGTATCTACGATCCGGGCAGACCCAAAAAAGGGAAGGACCCTGAACCCGAACCCTTACACCCGAAACCCCTACATTATTGCTGAAGAAGACGGAACCTGCAGCTCTGTGGTATGGGAAGATGGCGGAGAACAGGTTAAGGATTGAAAGGTACAAAATAGAGGCCTTGATAAGTAGCATAGGGGCTTACTTACGACAAGGGACTCCAAAGTAGCCTTGGCAATTATTTACGCAGCGTTCGCGAATGGTGTGGGGTTTGCATGAGGTTGTTTCCTAAACCCTAAACCCTAAACCCTAAACCCAAAACCCCAAACCCTAAACCTTGCGACCACACTCCCAAGGAACCCCTGCCCGGCTAGACCACAAGACACGGGCCTGAAAGTTAGGATGTGGGGGACAACAAGTACAGCAGGGCATCCTAAGGACTAGCCGGACTAACTATTCAGGCCTCTGCATTCAGTGCTACACTCTGCTTGCCTGTATTCAGGGCTAGACGATTGCATGCTGCTATGTCGTGTTACAACAACAGTATAGCTATAGTATAGCTGCAACCCCAATCCCGAATTGTCGTGATTCTGGCACTTGCGGCTTAAGGTTTCGGGATTCGCGCAGAATTGGCATCTCAACATAAAGTACTGGCTTCTGATTTTGGGATTCGGAGTTGAGGCTTTGGAGTTTAGGCTACCTGGCCTGAGAGAAGTTGCTGTTCCTCTTTGCCAATGCCGCTCTCCCGCTCAATGGCTTCCTGCTTTGGGCTTCGAATGAGGGTTTAGGGCTCATGGTTTAGGGTTTTGGAATCTAGGGTTTAGGGTTTCGCGGAACCAAATGTTGTCAGTCCAAAAATGGCGCGACGGGTGCCATCGAGATATGCTTCCGCCTTGAACTCGAACTCCCCGTGGGTTGCCGACCTATACCCTGAGACCCTAAACCCCGCTCCTACTGCTGTCACCTGCCTATGAGGCTGCCGGCCACCACAATGTGAGCCGCAAGAACATAATGAAGTCGCATACCAAGATCTCAGAGCACATGCGTTCTTCGGATGCCTCAACTTTAATACTTCTAGCGACATAACACCCCTTATTATGAAACTGTCTACAATCTAACCCTAAAGCCTAAACCCCTTAACCCTAAACCCTAAACCTTCCGCAACTTCACTTCATGATTGGCACTGAAGCAAGGATTCTTCGGCTCCCCGGGTGCGTCGGCTCCGAAAGCGAGATCCCAACTAAAGGGCCGAACCCTGAACCCTAAAGCCGAAAACCTTGACACCGCAAACCCAAAACCACTGAAGCCCTGCAGCTCCAACCCCTTCAAAGTGTATGGGTTTAGGGTTTAGGGTTTCCTTCAAGCCCTAAACCCAAAACACCCTGAACCCTTCTATACCCTTGCTTACGGTGTTTGCGACCTTAGCCCTCAAGTTCTAAAGCGCAGCTACTAAGTTGGCCCTCTAAAGCCTCTGACAAGCATTCGTGAATCAGGTCCTCTTAAGACCACTGATGGAAAATACAGAATGTCCGAATGGCCTACCTAGGCTGCAGCAGCCGAGGTCCTTCAACTTTCGAACTGTCCAGAAATCTTCCACGGCAACCTTGGGGGAGGCTGTGGGTGAATGATCCGAGGAAGAGGGTGTCGGATTTCGGGCTGAGAGATCGGGTTAAGGTAGAGCGTTCAGGGCTTGGGGCCTATGGTGAAGTAGAGTTTAGGGTTTAGGGCTCCGGGGTGTAAGGTTTGAGGCTTAGGGTGAGGGAGCCGCTCATTAATCAAGGACAATTCTGCGAAAAAACCTAAGCCCCAAACCATAAACCCTAAGCCCTAAACCCTAAATCCTAAACCCTAAACCCTAAATCCTAAACCCTAAACCCTAAAAGTGTTGCGAGAAAGTTGGATCTTCAAACCCCAAACCCTCCGAGTCCAGAGTGCACGGTTTGGTCACTGAAAGGGCGACTCTGTCGTGCCGAGGCAGATCAACGGTGTTTAGGGTCTTTGGGGTTTAGGGGTTTAGGGTCTTTGGGGTTTGGGGTTTAGGGTTTTGGCTCTCGGACTCGGACAATGCACGCGAGGCTGGTGGTCTTAAGTCGGCTGTGGATGGGTTCAGGGTTTAGGAAGCTTAGGGGTTTAGGATCACAAGGGAGCTGAAGCTGTGCGTTTTGGTGCTGTGTTTGCATTGTAGACGATGCAAGGCGTTGGCATCCGCTGTTGTTCGAAGCCTTTGCTCGCCACCGCTACGGTTCGTGAAGCTTCTAGTCAAGGGGGCCGAGTCGGTAGAATGAGGTTTTGGGGTATAACCGAATGTCGCTATGTAGGGACTGGCAGGCAACATTATCGCTAGTCAGTGGTTCAAAAGCCTACGGTACATTAAGTTGTCTTCCCTGAGTGTGACTACTGTTGATATTGGGGAGCTTCCCAGCATCGACGAAAAAGGGCCTCTCATCTGCCATCTTGAGCCATTGGTGGCATGGTTTACGAATCACGACCTCATATAGGGCCATGATATGACCACGATTTAGATCCTATGTCCCTGCTCAATTAAGTCCCAGTATCCCAAATAGTGGCTGCAGCTCAAAAACAGGTACTGACACCAAGGGGGTCGGAATATGAAGCCAACACAATTCGCATCCTTGCCAGCCACCCTCGTCTTCCAAGCTTAAGAAATCGGCATATTCTCGGGGGCGGCTGACCTTACGCAGCCTAAGTAACTTCAGAGGCCTAAATAATTACCAGTGATTTTGACTGGGTTTCTTATTATACCTCTATTCAAATATGCCCTCAGGCCATATTGAAATTATAGTTTGGGCCCCCGAATCTGTGTTTCCATTCAGCTTGTTCTGGCCAAGCCCCGGGCAGTGCAAATTGGCCCAGCGATGCCGTCGACAGAAAGCTGCTTCATCAGCTGCTGTAGATTTAAGGGTTTGTTTGGGGTGTAGGGCTTACATAGGGTGTTCGAAGAACGAAAACAGAATCCCACACCCAAAGCCATCAAGCCTCTTCGGCTGAGCTTGACTTTACATGCTGAGCTCGTTGGAATGGCACTTGTGGTGCTGGTTGGGACTAAGGTTTGGTTTCTCCCGATTCGCCGATGTGGAAACCGTAAACATGCCCAAACCTCCTCTTACGTACCGATGGCCAGGGTCTCTCCGAAGTGACGTGCCGATACCGCGTGTGCCATTGTCCCACCTTAAACTCTACTCTTTCAGCCTTATCATCTGCCAACGTGAGCCCAAGTGGCTGCAAAAACGGTGTCTGAGAAACTGCAACGTGATCCTATCTCAACTCCGAGCTACTCATGTACCCCCCCCCGAGTACAGCTACTCACTTCACTGGAGTTGCTATTTGGATTCCTCCCGCCAGCTAGTTGAGGGAGGACGGTCCTTTAATTGTCGTCTACTGTATGTCTTGTTGTTGGCTCCTCAAAGAATCTCAACCCTCAAACAACCCAAAACCCAAGCTGCGAGGACTTCAGTCCAAGAGATCTGGCACCGAGGGTTTGCTGAGTGAGGAGCACGGAAAAGAACTCGGACTGTGGGAATACGGTATGCAGTGGTATGGTTGTTTATGGACCAGAAAGGTCAAAACACTAGATTCCGCCTCTTTTTCAACATAGAGACCCCCTACCGCCGCTTTTCATGCTCAGGGATGCTCAGGGTTTTGTACAGCAATCCTCTTTCAACGCCTTATTGCTGTTCCATCAAGATATGCCGTGATATGCCTGATTCAATGAACTCGTGCCCCAGAAGTATGCAGACTTGACGCGAATCAGCATCCCGGACCACTCGAACGCCTTTGGTAGCTTTGGGGTTCTGCGAATGCTAGCACGCTTCCAGACCCTGAGTTACTGCCACATATATACCCGGACCAGAAGTGCGCTCAGCATCCCGCAGCCGTCCGTGGGAACGTGGTGAAGTGCCCCTGCTGGGTATGGGTCTCGAAGGAGGGCTTCGCAGCTTTGGGATTCACGTCCTTGTCTGTCTTACAGATGGGTGGTTGTCAAAATTATGGTACCTTTCTGGGTCCTTATAATACGGCACCTATTATTTTGGGTACCCCAAAAGGGACCCTAATTTGGACAACTACCCATATGATTCAATGAGTCAGACTGCTGTCTATTCTAGTTTTAGCTATGTATAGCTATGTGTGATACCTTCAAACTCTCACAAAAGCTTCAAACTATTTCAATCTAGACTAAATGTACATAGGGCCCTGGCATTTAGGGCTCTAGATGCCAAGCAAAGAAACCTTCCGGGAGTCTGAGGCAGCGGAAGCCAGGATATTGAATATGAGCGCCTTACTCACCACAGGAAGTTGAATAATGTAGGGAAGCCTAAACGGCACGATAAAGCTCCCATTGGACGACGATGACTGTCATGCCTGCCATGTACATTCGAGTTTCCTATCTGTACGAGTGCTGTTACTACAAAGGTCACACTGGCAAAAGCTCTCGCCATTTCACGAATCGCACTGTAGTACTTCTCGTAATAGTGCAAGGTCGAACATGCTTCCTGCTCCGGCTGCTGTTGCCAGATCTTCTTCAAGCGACTCTTGGTCTTAGCGCTCTTGTATCATCCTTCGACCTGCTTCTGCTATTCCCAGTTAGGCCCCTTAGTATAAGTATGGTACACCCCAAAGCCCATGAGGGCCCCCATGTTGTGGCTCGAAGGTTGAGATTTCGGGGAGTTTAAACATGAAAAGTCGAGTTGTTGTCATCATTGCTCCTGTTGTGACTGCTGTTGAGTGCAGCAGGGCATCCAGAGCTGTCTGAGTTCTCTTCGCCATTCAGGGCTTTGGCTGATAGGGTGCCGTTGCTCAGGGGATAGGGGTGTGGGAATACGGTTCAACATTGTTGGACTTTCCCAGTTCTAGCCAATTCTAGTCTATAGGGTTTGAGCCTTTGGATTTAACGGGTGCGACGTCTGACCCCTGATTTTCAAAAAGTCAAAGTCGTCTCAGACTTCGAGACCAGCCCGGCATCCGGCAGCGACCCGGGGTCAGGATTTTATTGTGCCGGCTAGGCTTAGAGTGAGCCTCACAAAGTTGGAACATGGGTTTAGGATGACCAGTGCTGGGATTCCCTGGACTTTTTGCACCTTAAGGCATGAGGTCCATGATTTCAGGGCGTGGGGTTTAGGGTTTAGGGTTTGGGGTAAGGTAATTGTCGTGTGCATTTCGTTCTCTCTCTCTCTCTCGCTGCCGTGCCATCCTGACACGTCTCCTTCCTACTTGCCCGGTATCCTGGGGAATCAAAGGCTAACCTTTGGGAGATTTTTGAGGCTTTATAGGGACTGTAACCCCAAACAGGTTAAAGGTTACCTACTGTACTACTAGGCTTTTTACTCTGCTCCAAGACTATTGGGGCTTCGTAGTCTGAGGCGACAGCGAAGATAAAGAGCCAGATGGCCAAAACGTAAGACCTCGTGGCATGGCCAGTGCCACAAGACGGCGGCTTACTCGGCAGAGGCACTGTTTAGGGTTTAGGGCTTCCCTGAATTGAGCCATGTACCTGGCTATTGTTCAAGGGCGTGGAAATCTTTGTTGGTCCATGGGTTCAGGAATACTCTTGTCACGAGAGTCCTGTCTAAAGGTTTAGGTTTCACAGCATACCCCGAGCTTAGTGTGAGTGTGAGAGTCACGAGCTACAGCTTGGAACCCGTGCGAACATGCAGGAATGGGCGGTTCCGAGTCTATACGTTTGGTACCTGTACTAGTAGGTTGTAGAGGGTTTATTTGGGTTCTTGTGAGGGAACGTAGTTTTGGTTAAAATGACAGGGATCTATAGTAGGTAATAATGTTCCCTTCTGATGGTAACTTGAACTAAGTTCCTTGGCAAGAAGACCCCGCCATGGAGCGTAGGGTTTAGGGAATCCTGAACGCTGGCTCTATGTTGAACCCTAATCCTCAAACCCTAAACTCCTAAACTCTAAACTTTAAACCCTAAGCCCCTAATCCCTAAACCGGTGGCTCTATGTCTCCCTCGCTGCTTCTGGGCTCTCTCCACGTTTAGGGCTTTTTGCGGGGTTTATGGTTTACGGGTTTACGGTTTGGGGCCTAGCTCGGAAGAGCCCGCATTGCATGGAAATGTGAGAGAGAGAGAGAGAGCTTAGGATGAAGGGGACATAGCCTGGCTCACCGGAACAAGAACATAAGATGAATGACATGCTGTCCTCAACATGGCAGCGGACATGAGACGCCCTAACAAGAGCCTATGCACTTCGCACGACGCTGAGCCGGCCACAGCCAATTCCAGCAAGGAACCCCGCCGTACCTTCAGGTTTCATGACGCCTTAATGTAAGGTAAACCCAAAAACTCTAAACCCTTCAGCCCCCAGGCCTGATAAAAGATGAGGCTTTAAAGAATCCTAGACAGCAGACATCCCCAGGCCTTCCAACCTAAAACCCTAGACTTCCCTAGAGGGTCTCTCTCTCTCTCTCTGCCTCCCTCTCTCTCTCGTTCTCTATCATGGAACTAGGCCCCCAAAACCCTAGTGAAGATGATCTCCGGGAGCCAGTAGTGTATGGCTCCCTCTGACTTTGAATTGATATGGTAGTTTGCAACGGCACCTGCGGGTCTTTTCATGGAGTCTTCAGCCAGCTGATGCACCGAAGGACATGTTGGCTTTAAGCTGCAATACATAGTCCTAATAATGACTTAGAGTTTCTCCACAACGTTCTGTTCTGTCTACTATAATGCTCTATATGCTACACATAGCTCTACTATACCTTACTGTACTGCTAGTGCTGCTCAAGCAGGTATCTGCAAAAGGACCTTGAAAGACTAGGATGCCTGGCGCAGAGAAGTGTCATGAAAATAAATACCTCAAGGGCCAGCGATGGCCAAGCACATTTGCAGCAGCTACTACGCAGGCCGGGATAATCACTGATACTGTGTCTCGGCCACTTGGGGTTTCCTGAATTAAACATACTAGAATCTACCTCAAGACCTTGTTCTACTGACTAAGGCCCCTATATTAGGATTGCGGGGGTCTAGTTTCAAAAGAGACGCATGTCGGAGCTGTCGAGCGCACTGCATCTCATGCAAGCAATCTGCAACGAAGGTGTGGCCTCAGCATCGGGCAGATGAATGTTCAGAGTTTAAGGGTTTCGGGTTTAGGGTTTAGGGTCAAGGGTTTTTTCTGTGCAGAGTTTAGGGTTCAGGCTGTAGGGTTTAGGGGTCAGATGTTGTAGTTCAGGATATAGGACTTTGGGTCTAGTGTTCAGAGTTTGGGGTTAAGGGTTGAAATACATCCGGGGAGCAGCAAGCAACATTATCTGAACCCTGAACCCTATAGAAAGCCCTAAGACCCAGGGCCTAGGTTTCGGCGGTATGTTTCAGTACTTCAGCATACTTGTATGAGGTTGACAAACGGAAATCGGAACCAGAGACTCATCCTGCACAGTACCATCTGAGACCCTACTTGGAGGGTCGGAGGACTTAGTAACTAGTTATTTTATACAGTTATAAGTATCATAACCCCAATTAGGATCCCTTTTAGGGTACTTATAAGTCTACTTACTCCCCACTTACTAAGTCCCCCGACTCTCCAAGTAAGCCTTAACTACGGCCGTCTTTGAAAACCGGAAGGTCGGCTACTGCACAGCTCGCCATGCCTCCTCGTACGCTTTTCGGCTTAGGGGCTTAGTGCTTTAAGTACTTCGGCGTTGTACATATATTATAGGTACATATCAAAGTACTGTCAGGGATACTGACATCATTACATATCATTCAGACCCCGATTTCAAGCCCGAGATTGCTCTCAAGTCGCTATCAGCCGCGTCGTTCAAAGAAAGTCCTGCTTTCCAATCAGGGCTTGAGGCTTTTAAACCCAATGCACTAAGAACTGAAAGCCCGGTTCCTTTCGGGTCGAGGGCTCAACGCTTGCGGTCTCATTCTATGGTCTGAGCTCATGGCAGTTGGACACACAGGCCCCATGTGGCCTCCCAGAAACCTGTCATGGATGTAGATGGCTGGGTTGACGGCTCAGGTGTTAAGACTTAAGTTTCAGATGTTGAGGTGGCAGAGTTTCCGGAGTTTGGGGAAGTATAGACGGCCGTGCCTTTATCCTTAATCTCTGAACCCTGAGCCCTAACCCCCCACCCTGAATTCTTAAACCCCTAAACCTGAACCCTATTGCGCCTCGGCGGAAAGTTTCAGAATTGGAGGCAAGTGGCTCAGGCTCGCCCAGAGGGCAACTGCGAGTTCTGTGACTTCTAGTCATTCTAGAGTGCTGCAAAAACCTTAAACCTGAAACCCTCAAAAACCTTAAAACTTTAGACCCTGAGCCCCAAAACCGGGCCTTTTGCAAGGTCGCTTCAATGGCATCGTCCCACCTCAAGGAGATGCAGCTGCTTTCGCAAGTCTAGGGTTAAGGGTATATAAGGTCGAAGGTTTAGACTTGAGGGCTTACTGGCTTAGGGTTTAGAGTTTAGGGTTGGGGGGGATAAATTTTCATGATTAACAATTTTTGCTGCACCGCTTGTGCGTGCAAGTAAGTGTAGTTCGGCGAGATCTTACTTGTTACATCTCGCTCTGCATCACCTTTTATTTCTCAAGGATAAGGCCAATTTCAATGAACTTTGTTGCTATAGACAACTCTGCCAATATTCCTGATGTCTCCGCTGTACTAAGGCAAACCCAGCCATCAAGGTGGACATTGCTGTTGTTGGTGGTACTGCAACCCTAAACCCTAAACCCGAGTATTCCGCAAGGATGCTGTCGTTTACTAGCGCCGTCAGCGGCACGACTTCTCAACTGAGAGGAAGGCGTTCCTCGACGAACTGCCTTCGGGCTCAGCTGGACGTACCGACCTTAGGGTTTAGGGTTTAGCGCGTAGCATTTAGGGCTTAGGGCTTAGGGTTTTGGGTTTAGGGTTTTGTATTGGGACGTTTGGCTTTTACCCTTGCGGCACAGGAGCGGTTCAGAACTGCTCCCACTGCAATTCAACTTCGCTCACCCATCTTACAGGATTGCATAGCATTGCCTGACGGGCTATGAAACAAGAGTTCTGTGTGGGGACGGTATCTGGGTTTGGTTGCTGTTTTCGGGTCTGGCTGCGGGCCGCTTTCGATGCCAAAATCTCAGGCAATGACTCAAACCCAGGTCCTTCCACCGACACGGCTTAAGGTTAGAGTTTGTTTAAAAAAGTGCTTTGGGACTTTCTCTCCGCAGAAGTTCAGCCACAGCCCATCGGGCCAGCACTACTACAAAACCTTTTCAGAACGCTGCCTTCCATGATGTGGGATCAAAGGTTTAAGGAAAGTGCTAGGTGGTAACAGTCATGTGCTGTTTCAAGAAACACCCAGGATCCACCATTGCCCACTGCATCGTAGTTTGGTAGAAATGGGAAGCCTTCGCGAGACAACCTCACCTGGCCTCCCATAGCACATGATCTTTTCATTCCGTACATGACTTGTTGCAAAGCTCCGCGCAAACGGGGCCAAATGAGAGACCACCTGGCAGGCCGTGCCGTCGTGGCAGGAGGATTGTTAGTCTGGGGCTATCAAACTTTACGATGGTACGGGAACAAGACCGGCTGGCAGTGGCGATGTTACTCTAGTAGTCGTCGTCGTCGTCGTGGGTTCAGATTTGATCAGATGTGGTTTGTGCGGCCCGACAATGCGGCATGTGTGCATGTGTGCACGAAAGCAACTCGACGTTGCAGGTGTGCTTGCAGTTGTAAGGTTACCCCATCCGAAGTTGCAGGAATGTATCTGAAAATCATGAGCCTTCCAACTGCAGCCTAGTACAAGGGCCTTTTGAATAGGAGAAAGTCTTGGGGTATCTTATGTCAGTGACCGTTCTACCCGAACCTTGAGTCTTAGAGTCTCAAACTGGGAAAAAGAATTTATCAGGGGATCTTTTACCTTCATAAATATGCGTCTTAGGGTTTAGGTCTAAGGTTCAAAATATTTCAACATGCAAACCTTAAGCCCTAAACCCTCAGCCCAGAAAGGAAGGCACACCGGGCTGCAGATTTTCGGTGTCCGGCCTCGAGGAGCCTTGGTGGCTCCAAAGCCCATGAACTCCCAAACCTGCTTGTTTGCTTTTTGACTTAAGGTTAAGTTTAGATTTTAGGGGTTTAAGAACTCCCAAACCTGCCTGCTTTTCGGGTTTTAGGGGTATGGCCGGCTTGTGAAAGGGTCCGACACTCGTTCTATAAGGTTTTTCTACGGGTCGTTTGATGCATGGGTTCTTTAAGCATTCTAGTTTTGCCTCCTGCATGGCTGAGCGACGGCCGCCAGGTCACCGACTCTAGACAACATTGTGCATCCATCGTCACATGACATGAGCCTGCATGCAGCAGAAAAATAACGAAGTTCCACACTGGCAAAATGCCAAAATTACCCATCTCAATTACAAACTCATGGCCACTCTTCTTGTGGCCATGTCGTCGCGTCTGTATATATGTCCACATGCAGATTCGCAATTGGACTGCGCATCAGCTACTGGTATTGCTCAGGTAGCCGTTCATACAGAATCAAGGCGACACGTACCAACGAATTCGAGCAATTCACGGATTCACTGGTATCCGATATCCATCGTTTCTCAGATCATCCACAGCAATGTTGCCCATCCAAGGTGGGGCAGTTCATTGACAGACAGATTCCTCATGCAACCAGTTACCATCAGAGGCAAGCCAGCGAACCCCGGTTGCCCAAGACGAGCACATGCAACGGACCGATGTGCACGCCACCTCGGACGTGGCAGCGAGCCGGTCCATGATAAGATGGTAAGCCAGGCGTTCGACAATGTCCCGAAATCTCAGCAAGAAGGGGACGATTTTGTCGCCGCGCGTTGCTTGTTTGCGCAGAGAGGCTTTTTAAATCCGTGTCCATCACAGATGACCCAGTGTTGCAGAACATCGAGAGCGTTGGCACAGAGGATGGATTCCGGCACCAAGGCTTTGCGAACCCGAACTCTTTAAGGCCTGCACCCCAACTCATCAGAGCCCCCGTTTCGAAGGACAGCCCCCGGGGACGCCAGCAAGTTTGGAGCTTAGTTCCTGGTAGCCAGCGGCACCTGCGGCGACGAGCTTGTGTGTGCGGAGACATGAGGCTGCTTCGTCCGCCAGGGTGAATAAGTCATTCTCCGGCAGGTGCTTTTCGGCAGACCTCGCCACTACCGACACCAAGTCAATGAAGCCTGAATTGCTCGGCTGGAAGTAACCCCTCCTGAGCCTCTGCAGGTTTAAGGACTTAAGGTCTGAAATTTAAGGGTTTCGTGCTTGGTTAGGGCTTCTTTTTAGAGGTTTCATAAGGTTTGTGTCAGTTTGCCGGGTTGGGACTTCGAAAAAGATCCTTGTACTCCCAAAGTGTTATTTATTGTGGTTAGGGTTTAGGGTTTAGGGTTCTGTCTTCCATCGTAGATGGCTTTTGTGGGGTTTTCGCTTGGCTTAAGGTAGGGCCTCTACAAGTTCCCTCTATTTTACCGAGGAACTGTTTTCAAAGCCGATGTACGTCGTACACTTTCGAGCTATTGTTCTATTCCCTACACCCCACACTCCCTAAACACCCCCTACTTTGAGTATAGGAAAGTAATTGGATTTGAAGGTTTCTAGTTCCAACAAGGGTCTAGAAGTGTCAGTGCCCAAAGCCTTTAATGATGTCACCAAGCGCAGAAGAGGCTGGAACTAGGCCGTCAAGCCCCGAGGTAAACCCGAAAAAGGCACGGGACTCCGACAACCTCGAACCCAAGCCTGACCCGTTGACGTTCCGATGCCCATGTGGCCTCAGCAGAAGAAGTTCATCACCATGGGCTGTCGCTTCAGAGTTCCGGGTTCGGGGTTCAGGTTTTCAGACTTTTAGGGTTGAGGGGCTCATGGTTTTGGGGCCCTTTCAAGGGTTTACGGGTTTAAGGCTGAGGATTCAGAGATTCGGTGCTAGGGGCTCAGGGCTCGAGTTTAGATGGGATGAAGCTTACAAGCAAAGCACAAAGCCAACCAAAGAGTAGTCGATAGCACGGCGAAGTTCGTTGACAACAAACAAGAATACTGCAGCAACACGTGTGTGAAGCTGACCTCTTTCGCATCTGCACAAGCGGGGTGCGGCTTAGGGTTCAGGGTTTAGGGTTTAGGGTTTAGGGTACACTCCTGGGTCTTCTCCGGGCTCCTATGGCGTGTGCTATGTTCCAACTGAACAGAACAGGCCATGATGATCCTGGTCCCGCTTTTCTTGCTTCCGTGAATCTTATGACCAGCGGTTATGTACATATATATATATATATATGTGTGCATATATATATATATATATATCCGCCGACCCCGCTGGGGCGGCGCCCAGAAGTTACATGTGGTTTTGCATGCCCTACGCAACCGCACTCAACTGCATTCGGCTCCACTC